TTGAGGAAAATGAGAGGTTTTTATGTGATACTCAGACCACTGTTGCTTTGATGTTCTTTCATGGGCCTTTCAGTTTAATGAAATGAGAGGAAAGGGGGCTAATACAGTGGGTGCCTTTTTGAGGACCAATTGTTGTAATAGTAACAATAATAATTTGCAGAGAGCATTTCAGGCATTCACAACAGTTCACACCCATTGTTTAGTAAGTATAACATGGTCCAACAATGTATGCCAGTGTTTAGTTTTCAACATATTTACAAGGACAAACTGAGAACTCTTGTTTCCAGTTCTGTTGGAGGTTCGGGTTAAAACGTAATCGCTTGTCTAAAACCACCCCTGTGATATGTGAATTAATGTGATGCGAATAAGTTTAATTTATGAACTAATCCAATTTGCCAAATGTAAAAGAATATTATAAATTGAGAGTCGTAAAAGCAAATTAGAGTTGCCAGATATGATATCAAGAGAGATATGATAATGCAAAACAACTTAGAACTTTTTATATGGATTTCCTTTCTGATGCCATACTTTTTTATATAAAGTTGTCAATCAGCTTACAATTTAGAGTCTAAAAATGAGAAAAGGACCCATTACTTTGTTATTTAACTGCATTTAAATAACAAATTATAACAAAAGAACCACCAATGTCACTTCACCACACTTTCGTTATATACCAGTAATACTGGCTAGGCGTGCGGAGTATGAGTGAGAATAGGGTAAAGAAGATCCAAACTTTATTGGCTTACACAGTTTGGTATGGCATTTGATAAGCAGACCAACTGAGGGCTTATGCCCTACTAATCCATCATGTTAGCCACTGACAAAAAGGTTGGGTTCATGTGTTTTGATCATAGATGTATATGGTTTTAAACTCAACTGGTCATGTATAGCTTCTGGTGGTGTATTCTAATTTATTTTCAGGAATATATAAATAGATCACTAAGCTTTCCAATTATGGAATGAAAGAAACCTGCAAAAGTCCTAGGATAGAGTAAGAGTAACTCATTTTTTTCTTTGCAAGATTTTTACTAATATTACTTGCTCATATTTTTCTGTATGCTAAGATCTCTAAAATACATTCTAAAATATATCAAAGTAAGAAACTGACTTTTTGAAATGAGAGTTATTTCAGAATTAGATTTTGGACGAATTGTAGTCTCCTTCCAATTGAAAATATATTATTTGTTTGTGTGCATGCTTGTGTGAGTTTATGTATAGGAAAAAGTTGGTTAAGAAAGTCAGACTTTTATATGAAACTCAAACCACTGTAGCTTCGGTGTTTTTTCATAGGTCTTTCAAGTTTAGTGATATGAGAGTTCAAACTGAATGAAATAGCAAATTAAATGAGCAAAAATAACCTCCAAATATGAATAACAGTGATGGATGTGTTATGCTTCTCCAGTAGCAATTGCTGCAATAGTAGCAGTAGTAATTTTCAGAAAGCTTTCGGGCATTCACAACAGTTCACATACATTACTGAGTAAGTATAATGTGGTCCATCAATGTATGCCTTATTTAGTTATCAGCTTTTTTACTGAAAAGAAGCATATAAGCATGGTTCCCCATTTTATCAAATGCTCAGACTAAGCTATAATTTGTCTCAAATCACCTCTGCACTATACAAATTAATGCACTGCAGTTATATCTGAAGTATAAACTAATCGAATTTGACAAATGGGGAAGGAGCGCTATTATAAATTAAACTATGGAAAAGCAAATTAGAGTTGTTCTATAAAGTCTATTCACCACTTTCAAGTGGTATATAAGAGCACAAAACATAACTTTTTAAAAGCTGGCTTCTCTTCCATCCTTCCTTCCTCACTTATAATACATTTCCTGATAAAGTTGTGAAAGCCACTTACAATTTAAAGGTAAAAAGAAAAAAAAACAGAAGAATGCCAATAACATTGTTTAATTCCACTGAAATAACAAATTACTTGTATAGCAAAAGAAGAACCAATATTATCCCAGAAATCAGTCAGACTGTAATAAGCCCCTGGCTTACATATAGCAACGAAATTACAAATTGCAACCATAATGCATGCTACAGGCTAAAACCAAATAAAATCATTTAATGTGGAAAACACTATAGTTATTCCCTTTTTCAACTGATAGCTTCGTTACAAATGAAACTTCTTTGTGTCTCAGATTTGCTGCAATTGCTAGAAATGTAATGTTCTTTTTTGGAATATTCTTTTTTATTTAATATATTTTATACCACTTTCTCATGGACAAGCCTTGAAGATGTATGCACAGTTAAAATGAGATAAACAATTCTGGAATTCCTTTCCCAAAAGACAGATTACGGATATATGAAAACAGAGCATAAGCACACAGCAACTTATAGTGCAACTTAATTGCACTGCTTTTTAGTTGAGCAGGTGTTATATCCCACTTAGTCAAGACATTAGAAACATATACCCGCAGCCTCCCTGTTTATATCAGTGCAACCTTGACTGAGACAATCAGGGATGTGCTATACAGTACTTATCTATTAAATGTCCACATTGTGAACCAGAGGGCCTTTTCTCACTGATGAACCAAAGTGCTCTCCCATATCTTTGAATCTGCAGAAAACTGGCTTGAAATTTGATGCTTCCATTGCAAGGCATATCCTGCTTCTATTGACTCACTGTAGTAATTTGACTATTTGTGTCCACATGGTGACGGCCAAGTAGAAATTATGGAATATATTCTTCCCCGCTGCACATATTATAGAGATATCCATAGCTCACTCATTGATCCATTACTTCTAAGGATACCAGGCCATACATATCCATTCTATATCCATTTATTAATTTTGGATAATGGACTATTACTAACAGTGTAGCCAAATTCTTTGTAACAGCATATAAAATACAATCAGAATTAATATCTAGTATGTGTTAACTGAGCTAGAAATATCCTATATTTATAGTTTGATCTTAGTACCTATTATTATTGTAAACTATGTTAACTAACATATCTTTTACCTGGATAATTACCATCCCAGTATCTCTACAGTTCAAGCCAGAGCTTGGTTATTTTAAGTTAATTAAACAAATTAGTTCAGTAAATTTTAAAGCAGCTGGTAGATCTTAGAATTATAGACATATTCATTGATATTTTTAATTTTATACATTTTAGTCTGTTATTTTATATAAATTTCAGACTTATTTACCTGCTTGTAATTTTTAATTTACATATTTAACTATAAATTTAGTTCCTGGATATTTTATGGTAAACTTATTTAAGGCTACTAAAACCTAGTATTATAGTTACAGAATTGCTGGATTAATTTTGTATTGTCTATTTTACACTTTATGCTGGCCAAAGAAAAAAATAAACTGAACTAACCAATAACTTGATTTTCCTCCAAGGCAATGGAAGACAAAACCTTAGAGATTCCATAGGCCTTGACATTGCTCTTGGATAGTGTAGGAATAAGGGAAACATTACTTTAACACTCTGCTTTAATATCCTGCTGGCATATTAACACTCTGTATAAGTATGTACAACTTCAGTTTTATTTACTTGTGGGCTGGGGACACAGCTGAAACAAGCTGTTGCCAGAGCACGTTTGTACAGTGGTTAGGCATACCTTTACAGTATGTCAGTCAAGCTTGCAAACTGATGAAGGCGGCTAGGCCTCAAAAGATTCTCTGCACCAGGTTCCATACATCAGTGGCCCTGGAAAGGCTGGTTTTGAGTTTCTTCCACTTGGGATGCTGACGCCCCAGGAGGCCCAGCGGCAGGCTATAGTCTTTCTTCCTCTCCAAGGCTACACGGAGCCTGTTTCTACAGATAGCTTGGGCTTGTGCAGCCATATTTTCTTTACAAAGCCAAACTGTTCACACATTGTTTGGACACTAGAGGACAAAAAAGGCCCCATTCTGCCAAGTACGCCATTGTTGTGTCACTTTTTTGTGAGATGGGCAGCTATACAAATATGATAAATGAATAAATAAAATAAAAAGTAAAAACCTAACAGGAAACATCTGCCTCCAAAGCTGCTACATACTGTCACCAGCAATCAGCCTTGGTCTAGACCAGTGTTTCCGAACCTCAGCAACTTTAAGATGTGTGGACTTCAACTCCCAGAACTCCCCAGCCAGCCAGCATCTTAAAGTTGCTGAGGTTGGGAAACACTGGTCTAGAATGCGGCCCAAAACATTGGAGAGGAGCTGAAAGCTGCCTTCTACATGCAGTACCTGTCTCCTTTGAATGGACGGGTGGTTCCTGACTTTGCAAGGACAAAAACCAAAAAACCCTCTCTCCCTGCCCCTTTCCAAAGAAAAGTTCACAAACAAACCCCACCCATCACTGCAGAGTTGCTATTTAAAAAAAAAAAAAAACAGAACAAAACAAAACCTCCATTATAACCTAAGATGTCCTTTTTTCTTTCAAAAAAATTGCATAGTTATGGGATATATGTGAATTTTAAACAGATGCAGGGAAAAGATTAGGTTCCCCCTCTCACCTCATATACAGTAATTCAAAACTATAACAAGCCTCTGTTCTGTTGTAATGTAAACATTTTTAAAAACAGAAGTCTACTTTGCAGACACACAAAGAGACTCAGGGCATATCCACACTCTACCTTTAAGCTGCTCCTGTCTTGTGCTCAGGCCAGCTTGACTTTAAATCAGCTTCAGAAAATCCCGCCTGAC